ATGTGTTTCAAATGTTCTACGGTGGGAATGGCTCTGCCATCTTGCTGTTTATATCTGGCCTGTTTTCACTTCATACGACAATCACTTGTTATCGGAACACGTTCTTGCTTGAATGATGGTAACTGGTGTTTATTGGCTCTCTGCAACCTGTGTTTAGCGTGTTACTTTCTTTAAAACGTTTAAACTTATTTTCATGTTTCAAAGGAGATGAGAAAATATCAGCTTGGACTCATAGGAGTTCGTTTATTCACTCCACATTTTTTTGGTGAACTACGTATCCAAACATCACTCCACATGTTGAGGCTAGAGGAGTCAAGTAGCATCATTAACCGCTTATATAACACATATAGCTCATTGCTTGAAAACGGTAGATGATTATCGAAAGTAACTCACTTTCCCTGGATTGTTAAAAAGTGTGAAAAGTTGTTTTAAAACAACAAATATGTCCTTGAGAGATTGACAGTACATTCTGAACATTCGACTAATTTCTTTGTTATTCGTCTACCCTTCATCTTTAGATGTGTTACACCTTCATATGCTAATATGAAGTGAGGTGTGGCAACTTTGACTTTTGCGCAATAATGTCAAGTCGCATGTTGATGTTGACTTTACCGCAAAACAGTATAAAACTATACAGAAGATCACTTGAGTTAAATTTAAAAGACTTGATAAACAAACAGCAGTACCTAAGCGCTATTGTCGCTGATTTTCAGCCTACTACTATGAATGGTAGATGGTGAAATGTATATAATAGTGATGCTTATCGTAGATTCAGGAATGATAATGATTCCTTTCTGTCTCTCTTTCAATATGGTGTAAGACAAATTGGTATTAGAAATAACTGCTGTTTGATGTTAATACAAGGAAACCAGACCAAGCGTTCTGTTGAACTTGGGCACTATGAGATGAATATCAAAAGTCGAAATACACTCAATAACCTTGTGGACACTAGTGTAGTAGGCAATTAGCCACATCTATTGTGTATGAAGGCTAATAATACTATCTGACTGTCCAAATCTCAGTAAGTGGAGCAGTGCTTGAAACTGTGACCTATCCGTCAAAAATCATCTCTCCCTAAACGAAAACTGAAAATTCTCGTTCATTAGTCATTTAAATCCTTTACGGTGAAGACAGGAGTAAAACAAGACTGCCTACTATCACCCATGATATTCCTGATTGCAGTAGACTGGATCATGCAACAAACAGTGAGAAGCGAGAAGAGGGGCATACGCTAGACCGCGGAAAAGAACCTAGAAGATTTATGTTTCGCCGATGACATGTCTAGTGTCACACGAACTTGAAGATCTACAGGAGAAAACCAACAAGTTGATAGAAGAGGCAGTGAAAACGGGTCTTCAAGTGAACGTAGAGAAGACAGAGGTGATGAAGATACCCAACCAACAACAACAACAACAAGCTCCAATCACCATCAATGGGAGAAAATTAAAGGAAGTAGCCTCTTCCACCTATCTAGGCAGCACTGTCTCAACTACAGGTGGCACAGACGAGGACATCAAAGCCAGCCAGGATCGGAATGATAACAAGACAGGCGTTCATTAACCTGAAACCAGTGTGGAGATCTACTGCACTCAGCATAAAGCGAGAACAAGATCCGGATTTCCAATACTAACGTCAAGTTAGTGCTTCTATGCGATGATTGAGAGACTTGGCGTGTTACGAAAGGCATTTCCAAGAAACTACAAACATTCATGAACAACTGCCACCTACACTGGCTCGTTACTGAATATCAGATGGCCAGAATAATAAGAATAATCAACAAGGAACTCTGGCTGGCTGGCAACGAACCGACGAAGCAAGAATCCATCAGTGAAGAAATATGCAGTGGAATAAAGTGGAGATGGATTGGATTGGGCATACACTGAGAATGCCGACTGAGGACATGACGCGCCAGGCGAGGCAGTCTAGTAGAACCGAGATGGGAAGCGACGAGTTGGGTGTCCGAGATGAGGGTGAGGGTGAGATGGAGGAGATTGTGAGAGGAAGAAATGAGAGCTTGTGGGCTGTTGTGGAGCCAGGTTCAAAAGATTTCAGAGAACAGAGTGCACTGGAGACGTGCTACTGAAGCCCTTTGTTACACTAGGAACCCAAGGGACAAATAATAATAATAGTCATTGAAACCATTTAGATAAGTGATATATTTTGATAACGTAATTGAAAGACGAAGTTTATCTGAACAGTATGTGTAATGTATTTACGCAATACACATTTCAAACAATCTGATCACACACAGATCTAATCGTCAAGTCAATTTATATTCAACTGAAGAGTGGGAGAACAAATACAACAATTCAGTTAATAAGGGATTAAAATTAAAGAAAGGTAAAGTGATCTAGTTGATCCAAATCTTGGTAAAAAGCAAAGTTTACCAAGGTAGGTGTAATGTTTAAGAACAAATTGTTTTTTTTACACAAAGGCGGTTTCAATTTGTGTATGGTTACAGCTTCCGCAAATCTCAGTATATGTTGCAGACTTTCTGTATACAACTTTGAAAGCTGTTTGAACATTAACTTTGTGACTTGTTTCTATGATATATCTAGCTATAGAGGTAAAGGGTTGTCTCCTACCTGCGCTTATCAAAGTTTCACAGTTCAACTGTTTTGAAGCCAATCACGTACATGTTCTCCTACCTTCAACTACATGGCTCGATTACTCCTCCCTCTGCATGTCGGACCAGACACACACATGAATCGGTAAACATAATGTGTTTTGTTTCTTCCACAATGGTAATATTAGCTGGGTAATAAAGGCTGATGTTAACCTCTGTCTCAAAATAATATAGTTCAACTCTCCTATGAATGGTAGAGTGATATCGACGCTTTTCTTAGGAACCGTGTATAGTCGAAACCAATACAAGCAACATCTAGTAAAATGCCTGTTTAATAGGATATATTGTATCAGTACATCAGATACGATGGATGAAGATATCAGATTACTGACCCAAAACATGGATATTTGTTGAAGTCAGATAGCATGGTAGCCGAATCCATATACGGTTGCGAAGAAAAGCGTCCACATCACTCTACCATACAGACGGGAGTTGAATAGTATCATTTTGAGATGTAGGCTAAAATTAGCCGTTAGGAAAACATTTTATGTAATTAATCTTATTATTGGAGAAAAAACAAAACGCATGCTTCACCAGAAACCTGAACACTGTATCAGTGATTACTTCACATTCCACTGTGTTTACCAGTTTATATACCTAGAGAAGGGTAATCGAAGCATCCAGTTAAGGTTAGGGGAGCATGTACACCTAAATGGCTTAAAAAAATAAATGGAGTGTGAAACCGTGATAAACGCTGACGGGAGACAACCCTCTTCATCTATAGCTAAACATATCATAGAAACAGGTCACGAAGTTAATGTCAAAACAGCTTTCAAAGTCTAATATAGAAATAGTCAGAGAAGTATTCTGAGATTTGTGGAAGCCATAACCATACACAAATTTAATCCACCTTTATGTGTGTACAAAACTAGTTTTTTTTTCTCACACTACACCTACCTTGATAAACTTTGTTTTCCAACCAAGATCAACTTTGTCACTTCCTGTTTATTCTCATCTTTCTAAATTTTAATCCCCTATTGTGTTAATTGTTGTATTTTCCCCCAACTTCTCGGTTCAATATACATTTATTTGACAAGTAAATGTGTGATCACATTGTTCAGATAAACTTCGTCTTCTAATTACGCTAAGTATTTCAAATATCAGAATAAGGGTAAAACTTGGGCACTGTGGTACAATGTAATTGTATATTGGACTTCTTTATTTGATGAATAACACACAGTGATCTAGTATTATTTACTTGATGACGTTTCGAACATAAATTATTATTGCTCATAAGCATATCAGTCTGGTAAAAATTTCCATATCTTTAGTGTATGTGTTGGGTCATTCGTATAACCCCGACCGGCACGTTTGACCTGACTCAGTCATTACATGGAATTCGGTAGATTAGATTATTTTGCTGAATTCGTTATATCAGATGCTTAAGCCAGCGGAAAAAGCTCATGTCTGAGTGGGTTTGAAGGTTTCAATGTCACCCCAACTCCAACCTTGTTGAGGATCCTACGTAGAGTTTCTGATGTACCTTCGTTTTAGAGTAACACAATGGAGGCTGTCAACTCCTCTCTACTCATGTTGTCGCTATCATTCTAAGCGGTGATTGGGCTTTGTATCATCTCATCGCATGTCAGTTAAAGCAGATTTAGTCAAATGTCTAAATGACAGAGGTAAAATACTCATTAGTCAGTAGTATGTTATTAATTAGTAATTACTCTCTACAGTTTATTGAGAAATTCGTACGAAGACATAACACGCAAAATGATAACAGTAATATGAATACGAATAATAACGATAACATGAGTAGGCGAGAGTTCACAGCCTCCATTGTGTTACCCTACCAAGAAGGAATATCAGAAAGTGTACGTAGGATTGTCAACCACGCTGGAATTAGGGTGGCATTTAAACCTACAAACCCACTGCGAGATGAATTTTGTCAGCGTAATGATCACATGGAACCAATTCAACAAAAATAATCTAATCTATCAAATTGGAGTGTGAAACCGTGATAAACGCTGACGGGAGACAACCCTCTTCATCTATAACTAAATATATCATAGAAACAGATCACAAAGTTAATGTTCAAACAGACTTCAAAATTGTATATATATACACTACTGGTATCTTGATAAACTTTGTTTTAGAAGTAGTATTCATCATGGACTGACATCAGTTGGGGAACCATTAAAAATCTTCAACAGTACGCACCCACGAACCGGCTAGGAATTGAACTCTTAGGACCTTCAGGTTTCATAATGAATGTCAAGATTTGGATTGACTATATCACTTCTTGTTAATTATTGTATACACATCATGAATATTGTTCAGATAAACTTCATCTAATCCCTTAATAAGTTGATTCATAACACAATAAAAGATTTTTATTATCTTTTAATCTTTTTATTCAATAGATTTTTAAATGATTTCATGTGTACATCCTACTAAGTTATTAGTTTATCATAGAAACTGTATATTAACTAATCAAAATAGAGGTAAAAAATACTATCGTAAATGGTTCTTACCATTTCATTTGGATGATTATCAAACAATGACAAGAGGACAATTGAATGCATATGAAAAATGGAATCAAGAATGGATTAATTCAAATCTTCCTAATGAATTTCAATATTTTGATAATTCACGTTTACCAATACATTTAAAAGCAAGAATGTATCCATCAAAAGAATTTTTTAATATAAAGAATAGAAAAGAGAAAACTGAAGATTATCGTCGACGTTTATTTGGAGAATATGGATTTATAAGTGGTATAAATCCAGCCAATATGTTTATAAATGAAAATGAAATTGATTTTGAGAAAGAAAAAGAAAAATTACTTGAAACTTCAATTATTGAAATAGTTAACAAAAAGAAAGATGATGAGAAAAAGGCTAGAGAAGAAAATGAAGCATTGTAAGTGAATAATAAAATATTCCATTAAGTTTTTAGAATGATAAAAATAAAACAGAATTTAAAGAAAATGCCAGAATTACTTGAAAAACATTATACTCAAGTAGCTAAACAATCATTAGTATCTGAAGAGAAGTTAGATAAAATGAATCTACTAATGGAAGAGGTAAGTTGTTAATATATTTTGTCTATTTTCTTCTCTAGGCAAGAGATCGATTCGGTTATTATCCACATCGACAGGATCCTAAATTCTTGAAGTTGATTGAAGAATTCAATGAACAAAAGAAGTTGGAACGTAAAAAAAATAAAAATAAACGTGTTTAGATACTTTTTTTGTTGTTGTTGTTGAGTGATTATAATTCTGCTTAAGTGCTAGCCTGTATTGGATGTTTTGGTTGATGTTAAGACACTGATAAGATGTAGAGTTTTGTGGACAACTTGAGAAATGGTTGAGTGCATTGAACATTTCCTTTACGTGAGATGTTGGACCAGTCTTGCTGGCTTAGTATCCGATGGAATCTGTACACGGATACAAAAGGCTCGGTTGACTTTTGCCAACTTACGCTGTCGATGGCACTTCCGCGATATCCGAGTGTTCTCTACCGCTGTCCGCTTTCTTCTACTGTATGACTGTGAACCCTCCACCCCCCCTAAAGGTAGAAGACATAAAAAGGCTTCAGGTGTTTGATCACCGTAGCATAGGCCACGTGTCACCATGCGAGTAACGTAGAATTCAGGAGTAGAGTTTTAGGCGGCGAAAGCGGTTGTGATCCTTCGTCGACTGAGATGTGTTACGTATGCCTAACCACCGTCTGGCTCGCCGGACAGTGTTGGCCGAAGTAGGTTCAGGCTGAAAAAAGGCTCAGAGTGGTCAGACTAAAACATGGCATCAATGCACGAAGTCCTTGATTATTGGTTTGTGCCATCTGAGGCGATACAGACTACTCGGTTAGGGTCTGTGGGGTAAGAAAAACCAGTGACATGGCTGAGAACCGATGTCAGTATACACGCATTGTTCTCATCCTAACCGCTATACTTAATCTCATCATTTTCTCATTCCTCCTTCTCTTTTACTACTTTCTATTCCTTTTGACCGATTTTTCTTTCCGTCTTCATCTTCCATTTAATTGCCTTGTTACTTGATGCGACAAATTGTACTGTTACGCAGTAATGCCTGATCCTGTGTTTCTCTTAATGATGATTCAAACATATAACCTTGTGTTCATTACTTGTTAGATGGAGTAGCCATCAACTTAACTTTTAGCTATAGTATGTTAAGCTTACTCACTTGTTAGATGGTTTCACTCAAACTTCTGATGCATTTTTAAGCCCAAGCTGCTTTAGTTATGGTTGTCATTGAGACTTTGCACGTTCGCCAGGTAGGTATGTTCGGATTAAAATCCTTATCAAGGTTCTCATAGTATTTGTTGCACAGATAAGATATAATCCCTTTGGTAGTCATTGCTGTAATTAGTCATTCTGAACTACAAAGAAAAGCGAAATCCATCTCCGAGACAGACGGGGAATCCTAGATGATCCTGAAGCTCTCATTCACCACTGTCTCACAGATAAAGAATTATTGATGGTAGGAATACTGGTAATAAAATGACAAGAGGATTATGTACATAACGAAGTTGAAACCCGAGATCGGTTGTTGCTAATTCAAGACATCAAAAGCGTACTCAACCTGGAACTGGTTTATGTACATGCTACAGACTCTTGTGCAATATTTCAATTATGAACAGTTCCGGTTTACGCCTGAGAAATCTGCTATGCTTGAAGTTGTCGGTGTCAGATAACTGTATTTAGTTATCAGGACGTCTGTAGCAGAAATGTCTTGCATCAGTTACATAATCGTAAGTTCCTGTTGCTTTTTTGCATAGTGGAAATTGTCATCCAATAAGTTGCAAACAGTGGCTTGAACACATCTCATGCATGCTATTTCATTGGCTTCCGTACAGATCATTATTCGCCGGCGGCAATCTCCAGTCGCAATGCACTTAGCAACCTTGTGCATCAGGTAATGAGCCAGGCCTATTGTGTGAGGGCTAATGATACTACCTGGGTATCCAAACCTCGGTACGGGGAGCGGTGTTCCGACCTGCTCAAATCAGTGGGCCACCCCTTCCCCCTACCAGATGAAATTTGGTAGGGGGTAGTGTGAACATTTCATAGTGCAAAGTCGTATGTTGTTCGTTCTCTTCAGGTTAGCATTTTCAGTAGTATTGCATAACGCGGTCGAATACGCTTGATGCATTATGAACGGTCAAAAACGCATTCGAATGCGATCTAGTTTCCTCACACCTACTTTTGGAAAGAAATATCCAAATAGCAAAAGTTCTTGTGTTACTATTCACAATACTATAATGACTAAAGTGGCACACATTTGATGCCCATGTTTTACTGAGTATATTGATTTATGAGTCCTGCTAAACAATCTTCAGGGAATACTCAGGTTTTGGATGTGCTCCCCCCTTGTATAAACATCGCTACGGCTTTCAACGTTATGATTGTTTTTGGCTCGTTAAGTCACTAGACTTCACATCGAACTGTCTTCCTTCAGTCATTTGTATTCAGACACGACGAGCTACATTAAGACTGCAATGTTTATTGCATATCATTTGTTCTGTACGCCTATGAAATCGTACATCAATATCGTATACACTTGAGTGGCGTGGTTACACTGTAGTGCAGTAAACTAATAATATGCCTCCTTCAAGTATTCAATTAAAACGAGTGCCTTCCGGAAAGTGATAATAAACTACGTAGGCAGCTATCAAGGTAGAAACGTTATCAAAAATCATACGTCGACTCCCCAGGATCCTTTCCACTGTTGTCAGTGTGTAAGAAACACATGTCTTTCTCTATGAATATTCTTTCATGATAAAGTAAGTGGGCGTTTCTAACGTGTACGTGTATGCCAATAAAGCGATAAAACCAGTTTGTCTCAGGAAATAATAGGTAACTGTAACTTGTACGTAGGCTTGGTCGGTCGAAACCTACCAAACAAATTGCTTCATAAGGCTATCAACTTCCTTAAATCCGACGCCATATAGCAGAATTTGAAGAACAATAGAGACGAGTATTATGCTAGGTGTATGCATATTCAATTTGACGGGTTCAAGTTGCTACGTAAACACGATTTGATAGGTCGAAATCCCTTCAACAGTCTTCAGCACATCTTTTCAGTAGGCAGTGAGTCAAACTTATTGTTTGAAGTCTGCCGAAGGCTCGGTATATGGGGCAGGATTCGAACCCGTGACGCTCCGGTTGGGAATCAAGTACCTAAGCCAACCAGCCACAGCTCAAGGAAAAGTAGTAGATCCATGGAATGGGCTGAGAGAGGAAAACCAAAATCCATGACATATATTAACCTTTCCTATCTGATGAGCACGCCTAGACTGATGTGAAGAGCTCCACAACCTAGTAAACAACGACAACCTGGACACTACTCAAACTAACTATAAATATGGAGTAGAGAAGTAGCCAGCTAAAACGCTTTTGAATAACGGAACAGTCATGAAGCCTAAAATCATACGTTTCAAAATCGATACTAAACTCCGCAAAAACAGATTGAGGCTTTTAGGAAAAAACCACGCGACTGCTTGCAAATTATGAGTGGAAAAGCCTTTTCTTATAATGATTAACTCGAGAAGTGAAATAGACCTACTTAAATGGGTTCAGGGGAATTTATAACAGAACAGTAGAGAAAAACAGAAGTTACCACATAATTTGATTACTTATTTATATAGTAGAAAAGAAAACACCAACAAATTGGATCATATATATGTATCTGACTTGTTTTCTTTAATAAAAAAAAAAACTCTTGTTGGCAGATAAATGCGATAAATTTGTAGTAGTAGAAAAACGAAAACAGACCATTCAACCTTGGAGATTCTTTGAAATTGTCATAAAAACTTGAATGTCACACAATCTAACTGATTTGCTCATTTTCAATCGTCAAAGGAAGTTCTTCATCATTGTAAATATTTTCCGCCTGGAACACAATTAGAAGAAAATGTATTCGAATTATTTTCTTACAGCTGTTCACACACACACACACCTTCGCAAACTGCATTGTCGATAGAAACTCGAACAAAATACCAAGAAAAAAGTTCGCTTGCAAGATGAGCTGACAACTGCTTCCGTCAAGCCTATTCCTGCTATGAAATGAAATGGGACTGTGGAAACAAGTACAAGTTTTTTTACTTAGAACTATGTAAAGCAATGCACGGATATTACTATTCCGTCACCTAAGATCAAAGATGGGCTGAATGATATTTCAAACTGTGATCTAATTCACCACAGGTTGACATTGGGTGGAGAACCTAGAAGCATTGGATAGTTGTTTTGAGGGTCAACCAGTCAAATGTGGATGCCAACTGAAGACGTCGGTTGACAGTTGCAATGTATCGAGAACCCGTAGAAATGGGAACTTCGACCAAGCGACCGAATGGTTAACGCATTCATCATGAAAACTGAAGATCCTGGGCTCGATCCCTGGCAGGGCTATGTAGGTGCCTGCATACCGCTAAGGACTGCCCTGTACTAGAACGACACATGTCCACTGTCCAACTCTTGTCAGTCCGCGATGAACACTACCTTGAAAATGAAGTGCCATCTAGTCTCAAAGATACCTAACTATGTCTTATATTCATATGTTCCAGTCAGCGCTTCGTTTCAACTTTCCAGTAGAACATACAATCGCATACACGACAGAGTCCCCCAACCCTTCCAGATTTGTGATTCATAACTAGCACACACATCTGCAAGTGCCTAACCAGTAGTCTTATTTTTAAGCTCTCGAGTTAAACTATTTTTCAGAAGATCTGGTCAAGTAACATTTGTGATGGACAATAAGCAATTGCATATATCCTTCAATTCACATGACAACCACGCAAAACATTGAGTGAGAGTGATATTCGCGTCTTCTGGCATCGCAGGGAAACCAAGCGCCTTTTTCTAACGGCAATAATTACCGACAGCACTTCACAGATAAAAAAAAAACAAGTAGATATAAGTACACTGTAGGTAACAAATAAAGTGATTCTCAGTCCGAAATATTATTATGGTGTCTTATCTACAAATGGTGGGTTAAGTATTATCTGAATGAAGGTTAGAACTGTCGAACAATGCCGACATGACTGTCAACATTTTCTCAATTATTGTCTAAAAACGAAACCACAAATTGAATGTATCGATCTGTTCAGTACGAGTAGGTGGTAAAACAGATTTAAAGATGGTCTTTATGATGAGATGACATCTCACCGAACCGGCAACAAGTGGATAACGGGCTGCCGCAAAGAAAGTTCCTGGCGGTGTCGATCAATAACTACCCAGCCAGTTTGCAGTTGGACATATCAGATATGACCATCATTTCTGAAAAGCTCTGGAGTGATATTGGTTTACCGCCTCTACAGAAAGCAGCAAAAGCCTCAATGAGTGCACGTGGAGGCCAACTTGCATTGTCTGGTAACCACGCATGTAATGTCGTCTCCAACGATCATTTAAATAATGGGACATGCTATGTTGTTAAAGCCAACCTAAATTTACTGAGTTTGGATTAGTTTGACCGCCTGGGGTTGTCAGACATTCCACGCAATACTCTCTATAATCAGTTGCAAACGCTGTCCCAATCTTCTGAGGTCACTGAAAAACTTGCAGATGTTTTTCAACCTAATCCTGGCCGGTTGACAGAATCTCCTGCTGTTTTGTCTTCGGTTCGGTTCCAGTCCAATTCCCTGCCTAGCTATCCTGCCTAGTCTATACACATCCATCCTACACCTCAGTGAGTGAGATTTCTAAATATCTCGAAACCGGTAACCATCAATAAAGTAAATCACTTTTCTTTGTGGTCGCAACTCAAAACACCTTTTGTTCTCATAGCTGCCAAATGTTCGAAAGAAACCAGTTTACGAAATTCTCAAGACTATCTGAGATAGCTATAGTTTGGAAGACTATTTTATTTGTAGTCGCACAAAACCCTTAGTGATTGAAGTGAAATAAAAATAAAGTCAGAAGTCAGACCTCGTAGCTCAGGTGGTAAAGCACAAGACCGAAAACCCGGCGGTCGCTGGTTCGAATCCTGCCGCGGTCCAAACCTCCATTTCATCTTCAATCATCACCCAGTACTAATTCTCAAGACAACAATAATTCACATTCATGAGCGCGTGTAGGTAGAAACTCATGGAACTTCTATGAATAACAGCCAGAACTTACCATCTGCCACACTTGTAATATGTTGTCTTCCGATACTGAACAAATAACCCATGCATCGTTTGGATTCCACGAAAAATCAGATATCTTTGCAGTATGACCACCATGAATGAACAACAATTCTGGTGGTCCATCTTCAGCATCTTCAGCCGATTGTTCTTCACCAATTTTGCTAAGATCCCAAACATGAAGACGTCTGTCAGTACCAGAGCTAGCCAGAATTGTTTCATGATGTGGTGACCATTGAACCTAAAAGTTAAAAGCACATCTAAGTTTATCTTTTGTGATGAAAAAGGCTTAACGTAACAAAATACTGAAAGATTAAATTACAGCCTTGTCTGACCATACATTATGTGCAAATAAAAGCAGAGTGAGTAGTAGCATGCTGCAATTAAAACACAACTAAGACTGAGAAGACAAAGTGTAACACACTTCTAACTATGCATCGATAAAATATAGACAATAAATTGCCAGGATATGGTGAAAATAATCTTGTTCAAATGTCTACTCAAGGTTGCTTATTCGTAACAGAATGTTACGCGTTGTTATTTCAAGCAATCTCTAATTGCCTGTCTTAGATATGAGATATGTGATCCACCTGGACGAAGAATTCGAGACAAAAAACCGATGACTAGAGTCCATCAATAGTACAGCTCAAAATACCGCAGATGTGATTTACTTCATACTTAAATATTTAACAAGTCACAGGGAACTCATTTTTATCTTACCGATTGACAGCTGCTACCTTAACGTGATGTTCATATTTGTACATCACAAACAGCCAAGATTCTAAAATTCAAAATTATCAGACATTTAAGTGGAGCTCAGGAACAGCAAACTCGAGAAAACCAGACAGGCTTCACACCTCACCATGGGTGAGTCAAACGGATATTCACATCCCGCCAGGTCCCACAACACAGGCAGCACTTATCAACGCCCAACAATGGCTGTATTTCTTGACGATCAGGTGATACTCGACGTCGTCTCATTCCACTCTCACAAAAATGGATATCCAGTAGGTACATCACTCTGTTGAATACTCTGTAGTCGAACACCTGCCGGTATGTTACAGCATACGGTAAGTTGTCAATTGAGCTGTATACGTCAAGTAGTGTCCGTTAAGGATGTCAACTCTACATTCTCATTGAATTTTGTCACAGAAATACTTATGGAGCTCTCTCTCTCTCTCTCCCTCTCTCTGTTCATCTAATTTTGATCTTATCGTAAAAGAATACTCGGTGGATCTAGAAGATGCAGATGTGGTGAGAACACTGACAAGAATACAGAGACGACTACTGCATACCTTCAATGACAGCCTGAGAATGTTTCAGATGCATTTCTCACCACCCTTTACCAAATGGTTTCTCCACAACCGGTCCGCACTGCCACACCGTCCAACAATGAGCAGTCAAGTGGCTGACCATCTCACTCACCTAAGAAGTCAGATCAGCTCTCGTAAGTCAGTGACCGACGAAATCCATGCACATATAAAAAGGTCTAATTGACTTCGACGATTAGGGGACCGAGTGTAATGTGCTGCAATCCACTCTGTTTTACTATTTGGCTGTGAAACACGACCATTAAAGTTAGAGAACATGAAAAGGTTTCATGTATTCAACCACTGTACCCCTTAGTAGCATAGGCCGTATTTCATTGTACCACCACATCAATAAAGTAGAAGTCAGGTGTAGCGTTATAGGAGGAAGAGTAAAGTCAGTTGATGAGGTTGTGAACCTTTGTCGACTAAGGTGGCTGGGACATGCGTTATGCATATCTAGCCACCGTACACCCTACTGAGATTGTTAGGTGAAGTAGGTTGAGACTGGGAAAGGGTTAGAGGTGGTCAGACTGAAGCATAGCATTAGTGTAAAAATTTCCTGACTGCTGGTGTGAGTTGTGTAGGCAAATGCAAACTTCTCGGTTGAGGTCCACTTCTAATTACTTTCATCGTTGCGTTTTTTTAACCTTGATGTGCTGATAATGATGTGTAGTAACTAGGACTGTCACGTATCAATGCCAGTTCCCACATCGATGTCACTTGACAGCAGCATTATGTGTTGCTCAACTTCGAATTAGTATTGGGTATGAAGTCACATATGTAACAAGAAGTTTAAGCGTGTAACTTTCATAGTAACGATTTCAGCAAGTAGGTTTGTGTATGCGGATTCCTGAATTCTTGCTATTTCATATATCAACAATAGCTTTCATGATATTCCTAAGTCTAAGAGAGAACTGAAAAATTTATATATCCATTCACGAGAATGTCAAAGAAATCTTGGAGGGGAAATATATATTAACATCCACTACATACGAGCTCGCAAATACATAGGTGGAGCAGTGACGCATTGGTCTAGGCACCCAACTTCCAACCAATGAGGTTAGCGTTTCAAACCTCTCTCTCTCTCCACCTGTCAGTCAACGCAGTATTACTAAGCTTCACACATAAGGTGTCGTTCACTACCTCCTACTGCAGGAACGTGCACAAGGTCATTGAGAAGAGAAGGATTTCGTTTCCCAATCATCTATGAGTTTTAGTAAGATAATAATGAGAACCTTATTTTGACGCATGTATTCTGGAAGTTTTTTGATGAAAGTCCTACCCTTCTTTCTATTTCTGCAGCTGAGATATTCGTAGTGCTTAAGTCATTGAAAATCACATAAGTAGAAGTATATTACATGAAGAAAATGAAAACAAAGCACAAACTTCTAATGTACCACCAATAGATCGAAAAGAGAAAACAATGAACCATAAAAACAAGTATGTTAGCTTATATGGATACCCTATGTTTTCAACAGTACAAAGGGAAAAATAATTGTAATTAGACTGCAGCACTACTTTATTTGTTACAGAAAATAAGAACTTTTCATTGTATCTTTTATACTGCTGAACAGCTTGAGTAGTAAGGAACCACTCAGTGTCTATGAGCTGAATTTATCCAGGTACACTGACGATGAGCTCAGCCCTCACTCCGATCTGGCTGGAAAAATACTAAAGATCAACCTGACTGGTTTCAAACTACCCAAGTTGCTCAGTAGCATATTTTTCTAGTTTATGATACTTTTATGAGTTTGGCTGGTGGGTGGTTTCGGACGGAAACTCTGCTGACACTGCAGTTGGGAAGTTGAAAAAGTACTCAGCTCTGAGAAATGTGTCAACATGAACCGTGTAATTTGTAAACTGATCATCTTCATTGAATCTTTTGTCACTTTAATGCATTTCAACCCAGTGTAGTAGGCTGTGAGCAATAGTTAATGCACTAGTCAGTCACTCGGGCCGAAGCGGAATGAGACTCAAATTCCAGACGCACTGCTCAAAAAATTGACTGGTTAAGTCAATTGGATGTACAAAAACTTGAAAGAATATATAGTGAGATTGAAATCCCTAAGACTGAATATAACAAAGTTTCTACCCAATAACTCCTAGTTTGAAAAATAGTAAACCGAAATAAATGTACCTGAAATATTTCATCTTTATGCGATTCAAATGAGTGTAACTTCATCTGTAAACTTCGTAGATCCCATAAAGCAACAGTACGATCAGCACTACCAGTTGCTAGAATATATTCACTGAACGGATTGAATGATAAACAGTTTACTTCAGCTAAATGTGAATCAACTGTATGACTAGGACGTGTTGTACACCCACTACGTGTATCCCATATCATGAGTTTTTTATCATCTGCTACAGAGCCGAATATGGATTCATGAAGTGGATGCCAGCTGACATCTTCAACAACACTAGTATGACCGGTGAAAATGGTTTGAGCATCGATAATTCGACCTTCTTTTGGAGTTGCATTAATATCCCACATACATATTGTCTACAATGAACAGAAAGAATGTGAAATATTTTGATTTGATTTTCAGTACAATTGAAAAGTAAAATAAACCATCAATTCATCCTGAGAACTGGGAACTAACAAAACTAAACGTTTATGATGGAGTGACTACCTCAGCAACTATCAAGTGATAGCTTACCTACCTACTGATACACTGACTAGAGAGTGATTAGTCCTTTGAATTCGCTGACCTAGTGATCTCATAACCTCCAGGATACCTCCACAAAAAGTAAACCGTAGAATTTACTGTCATCAAATTACCGTGTTATATTCGAATACAAAAGAGGAATTAGCGAAATATTCTACTACTCAGGTTGTTCATTAGCAGTATATTTCGATGGTTCATGAAAATTTTGTATCAGAGATCACACCTTGAGTAGTTTCCAGAGGAAACCTTGTAGACACGGTAACTGAGCAGTTGAAAAACTACTCAGCTGTAAGAAATGTCAAAGTGTGAACCGTTCAATTTGTAAATCACTGGCAAATTGATTAAGAGAAGAACTGCTAAAACAATGAAATTAAATGGCTTTGATCATTTCTAGACTTTTCTAGAAGAGTATTCACCTGTTCAATCAATCTGATGTATGACTATGTATCTCTTCTTGAGACCCCCGGTTAAAACGATTGGTTGTGAAACAATCTAGAGATTAAGCTTCTATTTGAAGGATATAGACAAGCTTATTCCACACCATAACTCCACTTTAATACACAACTGTTTTACCCGGTGGATCTGGTAGACGACGGAATAGATGAACGCTTTATATATTGCCTAAGTCAACGCTTTTTAATGCTGACTGGCACAATTTTCACCACGTTAACCTTTTTATTTTAGATCCAAAAGCAAAAAGCAGTAATCCAATGTCTGACTAGGAAGAACTGTAGGTCAATGTAAGGGGGGCGGGTCTACTGACTTCTATTGTTCAGAAGCGTATTTCGCCAGCATATCATTTTAATATGCCACAAATCACCGTCTAGTTTTAATAGGATAGTTCCTTAACCTAAATCCAGTTGATAGCATAGGTAAGTAACTGAAAACACAGGTGGAAGACATGAGAAGGCTTTAAGTGTTTGACCACCGTTGCCTTTGTAATATAGGCCGTATTCCGTGGTGTCATCATGTGAGTAATGCATAAGTCAGGTATAGAGTTTTAGGGAGTAGAGGTAAATCAATTGACGAGGTTATGACCCTTCATCGACTAAGATGATTGGGACACCTATTACGTATGCCTAGTCGTCAACTGCCTCGTCACACAATGTTGGCTGAAGTAGGTCCAGGCTGGAAAAAGGCCCGAGGTGGCCAGACTAAAACACGGCACCAATGCATGAAGTCTCTGACTGTTGGTTCGAGCCATGTGGGGGGGATGCAGACTAGCTGGTTGGGGTCCGGAAGACAAGAGGAACCAGTGGCTGGAGACTCTAGGTGATACGGTTGAGAACCGATGTCAGTGGCGCGGACGTATCCCCATACACATTATCCTCATCTCAACATTATGCCAATTCTCACCATTTTCTCATTCTTCCTTTCTTTGTTCTCGTGCTTTATATTTCCTTTGACTGAATTTTCTTACCTTAATCTTTCACCTCACTACCTTTCTACTTGATGTACTGATATGAGCTGTGGCAACCCGGACCGTTGCGCAGTGGTAATGCCTGGTCCTATGTTGATATTGATGGTGATGACGATAAGCTGAAGATATACTGAGTTATGAGAAATGTAGACAACTGTTATACTGAGAAAAGAAATCTCACAACACCCACTAACTAAAAATAATAACTGACAATCAAAAGTATCGAAAAGCTTGAATATTTTCTAGAATATGTAAATATATATACACTACTCACATAATCATCTGATGCAGACAGTAGATAACCATTTAAATTTGGATTCCATGATAAACCATAACCTTCTTTTTGATGGCCTCTCAATCTTAACTCTGGTCGGCAAACTCCAGATGGATCTGGTTTACTTGGATGCTTTGTATAGTCAAATACTAAAACATCTGAACTAGGCGTTTTTGTAGCAATTACGCATGGGTTCTGTGGCATATAACGGGCACGGTTAACTTCACCTTCATGATTAATTTTGATGTTGATGTCAATTTTACCGGTAACTGCACCGAATCCACCGAATTCTAAATGGAATATACAATTCATCAAAGTAATATCAGTTAATTCAGGGTATATATAATATGAATTGAATTGAACATCGCGTAATACATAAGAGGTGTCAAAGTATTTCAATGATAATCAGTTGGCTACTTCTACGAGAATCACCAATTCTGCTGCTAAACCATCGAGACAACGTAAAAAGAAAGAGATGGGGGATTAAAAGCATTGAAATAGCAACCGACACCCGTCGCACAATGGGTGGTTCTCGTACCCTAGTGGTCTAGTGAATAACACTTTGGCGTCAAAAGGGACAGGTACCAGGGTCGACTCTTAGTGGGAACGACAGGTACATTTAGTTGACGAGTCCCAAATAGGACGAAAACGGAGTTCCGGACTCCACTGCTAGTCATCAAGTAGACTATTAAGTACAACTGACTTTCCAACTGCTGAATAAGTGCTACTGAACAGTTAAGCAGATATTTTTTATGCGTGAACTGTGCTTGAGTAATGGAAAAAACAAACAGAACAGGACAAATAAAACTGATATTCACTAGGCATAAACTGGTTATCTGTGTTCACCTTGTCCATTAAGAATACTGACTTACCACCTCGTTCAACATCATAACTATTCGGGTCGAACTGAGCATTATCACTTGGCATATGAACACTAGCGATGAGGAGATGGTTCTGTTCATCAGATGTATGCGTCCCCAAAATAAGCCGATGAATAGAATAATCTTTACCTTCTGGCCTGCAAAAGTAAGGAAAAAATTACTTATTTAATGATTACGAAAGTAGAAAAAGGCATCAGTCTAGGAATATATATGTATGTCGTACAATGGTTGCGTTCCTAACTGTTTCTACGTAGAACTTTGAAATCTGTTTCAACATCAATTTTGTGACCCGTTTGATTATAGACGAAGACTTTAGACAATTTAGTGTATGCATCTGTGCCACTGTGATCAACCCTGAGTCGCGTCTGTAACCACTGATTCCTATTATCTCAAGGACCCCAACCAGGTAGTCTATACCTCCATACATAGTTCAAAGAGGCAATGAAAGGTTTCATGGACTGATGCCAAGTACTGTTTTGACCTTTTTACAGACCATACGTGTTCCAGCCACCCAGGGTTATTGATGGTTCATCTTATAGCTAACCTCCCCATTCTTCACACGGTGTTTCCATCATACAGGAGCAATGCTTTAAAGACGCGTGTGATCAAAAATCCATGATCTTATATCTACTTTCAGAGACCACATCTTACAGTCTTACAACAGAAGTGGACTGTAGAGCGGTATACTCGTCCTTCGATAGGTAAACAGGCATATCGAGTGGAATTTTAAGGGACCATCTATTGAGGAAAACATGGGATTTATTAGAATTGGTCACCATATTATAAATACATTTCCTCTTTGATACAAAAAGACCAAACATAACCGAGTAAAGATTTAATTGGCTGCATTACTCTATTCAAATCTGTTTAGGCTCCGTGTACTTGGTTATTGCATAAGTGTTCCCCTTTATCTACTCATTTTTCTCTTCAGACCACTAAAGCACTTCATCCCAGTAATTTCGCAAGCATTTGCATCAAAAATTACCTTATTCTGTTCAAAACAATATCGTGGAATTCTCCATGATTAGTATAATGCACAGCATTTCAGTGTATAATGCTATAGATAGGCAAAGGCAAAAATTAATCAACAAAAATGATTAATAAACGTAAAAATAAATTAACAACGTTGTACATATGTCTACTGCGTAATGAGCTGCACCCAATGTCATGTCTGGTGACAATAGCTAACTACCCAAACCTCAATAAATGGAGTGAGGTTTGAACCCATGACCTACTGATTTAAAGTTATATCCTTTAACCAGACACCGCTCCATTGCAATAATACTTAAGATACACATTCACATTAAAACAATATGGACCATCACAACTACGTAGATCATACAAGATACTTTCAACATATATCACCAACATAAAACTCAGTGTTAAATGCAGTGAATAAAATGGCAAATATTCATTGCTTACCTTGTAACTTCAGGCAACCATTGTGCCGTTAGACTCGGCCATTCCAAAGCATGTGTCATAACCATATCATATAGGAAGGGTGTATTCTTTTTCCAAATTTTATATTCTTCGTTGATAACTCGCTCTTCCACACCATCTTCATAACCTAAATAAAACGAAAATGACGTACAATGCCCGACAGTGATTCATCAATATGCAAACTGATCCGGTTGTAAATGGTTATAGCTATACACCCTACAGAACTTGATAACAGTTCCATAGCATCCAATAAGCGAGAGAATCTTATCAATAGCAAATAAATTTGCTCATGATTAATAGATCGGTTTTTCTGCCATCGTTCTAGAAAATTTGCACACGAGTGGTTTTACTGTTATGTATATATACTTAGCATACTCATTTTCACACTCCACACTTTCTTAAACGACTACTGAAAGAGACGGTCACCAAACGTTTTAATGAATAAACATGATCGGATTACGGCATTCAATTATCCTCTTTCAGTTTTCCTAAAGAATCCAATAATTCTGACTGCTATTTATATTGGTATGAATTATACTTGCGCTACAACTCGAAAGTATTATTCGCAAAACAGATTATTTCAGCAAGAATCAAAATGTACAAAATAAGGCTTTCTTCAATTGAATTCTTTTGCCTAAATAATGTGAGATGAGTAAAAATTGTGCACTATTATTATTATTATTATTAGTCCCTTGGGTTCCTAGTGGAACATAGGGCTTCAGTAGCACGCCTCCAGTGACCTCTGTTCTCTGAGATCTTTTGAACCTGGTCCCACGACAGCCCAGAAGCTCTCATTTCCTGCTCGCACGACCTCCTCCATGTCACCCTTGGACGTCCAACTCGTCGCTTCCCATGGGGATTCCACTCGAGGGCCTGACGCGTGATGTCCTCAGTCGGCCTTCTCAGTGCATGGCCAATCCATCTCCACTTCTTCCTGCATATTTGTTGCGTGATAGGTTCTTGGTTGGTTCGTTCCCAGAGTTCCTTGTTGCTTATTTTTTCTGGCCATCTGATCTTCAGCAGCGAGCGTAAGCAGTTGTTGATGAATGTCTGTAGTTTATTGGAAATACCTTTCGTGACGCGCCAAGTCTCTGAGCCATACAAGAGCACTGACTTGACGTTGGTGTTGAAAATCCGTATCTTGTTCCGCATGCTGAGTGCAGAAGATCTCCACACTGGTTTCAGGCTAATGAATGCCTGTCTTGCTTTTCCGATTCTGACTTTGACGTCCTCGTCCGTCCCGCCTGTAGTTGAAACAGTGCTTCCTAGATAAGTGAAGGAGGTTACTTCCTTTAAGTTTCTCCCGTTGACAGTGATTGGAGTTTGTTGTTGTGTGCGGTATCTTCATCACTTCTGTCTTCTCTATATTCACCTGAAGTCCCGTCTTCGCTGCCTCTTCTATCAACTTGTTAGTTTTTGCCTGCAGATCTTCAAGTTTATGTGACATTAGGCATAAGTCATCGGCGAAATCCAAGTCTTCTAGGTTCTTTTCCGTCGTCCAGTGTATCCCCCTCTTCTCGCTGCCTACTGTTTGCTGCATGATCCAGTCCACCACAATCAAGAATATCATGGGGGATAGTAGGCAACCTTGTTTCACTCCTGTCTTCACTTCAAAGGCATCACTGAGCTTCCCATTGTGGATTACTTGGCATGTGGCATCTTCATATAGTTGTTGAATGAGGCGGATAAAGGTTTGCGGCACTCCGTAGTATTGAAGCAGTTTCCAAATTACTTCTCGGTCGACGCTGTCAAAGGCCTTCTCAAAGTCGATGAAGTTGAGGTGGAGAGGTGATTGCCATTCTATGCTCTGTTCTATGATGATGCGAAGCGTTGCAATTTGGTCTGCACATGATTTGTACTTCCTGAAGCCTGCCTGTTCCGGTCGTAGTTTTGAATCCAGTGCATCTTTAAGCCTCTCCAGGATGATGCGGCTTAATATTTTACTTGGGGTGGACAGGAGAGTGATTCCGCGCCAGTTCTTGCAAGCACTGAGGTCTCCCTTCTTCGGCAGTTTGACAAGGTAACCCTTCTTCCAATCGTCAGGTACCTTCTCTTCCTTCCACACCTTCTGCAATAGTGGTGTGAGCATGGCCGCTGTTGTCTCTGCATCTGTTTTCAGTGCTTCTGGCGGTATTCCATCTGGTCCTGCTGCTTTCCCGCATTTCAGTAGCTTTATGGCGTTCAGGACTTCCATTTTCGTTGGGGGATTAATGTTCACTTGTAGTTCAGCGGCTGCAGGTGGTATTTCTGGACGAAGTGCAGGTGGTGGTCGATTCAAGAGCTTCTTGAAGTGGTCGGCCCATCGTTTCCTCTGTTTCTCTTCTTTGTAATTAAATTTCCTTCTTCATCTTTTATTGGTTTCATCTGTGTTGGTCTCTTCCCTGATAGCAACCTGGTTATTTGATACAATGTCGTCAGGTCTCTCTTACCTGCAGCCTGTTCTGCTTCACTTGCCAGTGTTTCGTAGAAGTGTCTTTTGTCTTTGCGTGCACTCTTCTTCACTTCTTTGTCCAGTGTTTTATACATTGTGCTCAGTTCCTCTTGTCGTTGAGCATCCTTGCACTGGTTTATCTTCTGCTTCACCATCCTCCTCTCCTCTATCAGCTTCCAGGTATCCGTCGAGATCCATTCCTTGTCTTCTTTCTTCTTCCTTCCTAATACTGTTGTGCAGGTTTCTTTCCACATAGCTTTCAAAGACTTCCAGTGTTCTTCCACACAGGTTTCTTCAGGGATGTTGCTCGATGTCTCCCATTTTGTCTTGATGGCTGCCTTGAAGATCTCCTTTGTAGTTTCATCCTTCAGTTTCCGAGTGTTGTACTTGGGTTGAGGTCTATCACCAGCTTCCTTGAAGGCTTTTAACTTGATTTGGAAGGTTCCTTGCACTAGGTAGTGGTCTGAACCTACATCTGCTCCTCTTCTTGACCTTGTGTTAAGTAGACTGCGTCTCCATTTTCTTGAGATTGAGATAAAGTCGATTTGATTTTTAGTGTGTCCATCTGGTGAAATCCATGTCGCTTTGTGGATATCTTTGTGCCTGAACACACTGCCTCCAATCACCAAATCGTTGAATGCGCAGAATTCTGCAAACAATTCTCCATTCTCATTCATTTCACCTAGTGCCTCTCGACCCATGGTTAGTTCTCTTCCCGTGTTGTCCCCTCCCAGTTTGGCATTCATGTCGCCCATCAGAATTTTGATATCGCCAACTGACGTCTTGTCCAGTGTTGATTGAAGTTGTCTGTAGAAATCCTCCTTTTTCTCTTGCTCTGCATTATTTGTAGGTGCATAACATTGTATGATTGTGACCTTTCTTCCTTTTGAGTTGAATCTTGCTGTCATGATCCTGGAGGAGATTGGTTCCCACTGCATGAGAGCCTTCGATGCTCTTGAGGACATCATGATAGCCACTCCCTCAGTGTGCTCGTGGTTGGCGTCTGGGTGACCGGAGTAGATTATTGATTCTCCAGTTGACAGTTTGGAGAGTCCACTCCCATTCCATCTGCTTTCGCAAATCCCAAGCACTTCGATGTTATACCTTCTCATCTCCCTTGCAATCTGGGCTGCCTTACTGGGTTCAAACATCGTGCGGACATTCCATGTCCCCACGTTTACTTTCGCTTTCATCGAGAGAAGACACATCGGCCAATTGGCTTCCCGAAGGCTTTCACCAACTGGCGTCATTTCGCCTCTCCGATTCCAGCGGGGAATAAGTTTGTTTTCATTTTTTATATTTTGTTTGTGCTTTGAAGTTTCTTTAGCGGTTAGATTTGTTTTACGGGGTAGGGTTGCTAGCCCTATGCCCAACCTTCCCTCTTTACCCGGGCTTAGGACCGGCTAGAAACTAGTAAACTAGTTAACCAGGCGAGGTGAGATGAGTAAAAATTGTGCACTATGGTAGAATATAATTCCACTTTTATTGATTTATTAGATCTATCACACAATGTAACAGTATTGTTTACTGAATTACGTTTCGGACACAATTTATTATACACTGTCATATCAAGATGTGTGCTCATTGCAACAGGTTTTGATTGTTGTTTAGAACGTAGAATTGTATATTCCTTGAACGGAAGTATTACGCTTATCATGTTTTCCTATAACATCAAGCGAAGTAAAAATTTTAGCAAAGTTTTTACTAGACCTAAGTGCATGTGCAAATGTGGGTGTAAAATCTCGAAAGAGACATAAGTATTACTCAGGAACCGTTTGCAGAATTGCCCAATTAGATATGTACAGCATGCCATGCAAGGCTTGACTGCATTAGGTGCCTGTATTAACTTTGATAGAAGGGGTATTGTTGGAGAACGAGGCTCCATGTCCAGGCAAAAAATATCAGTATCACAACTTCACAAGTACGATAGCAGACAGTAAAAAAAGGTAGCCCTGCAGACCAAACGGATTGTAGGAGTATCACCAAGGAGGAAACTGCAAATCCTAATATCTCTTAGCGTAACCGAAATGACTAACTTCAATGAGTGACTTAACAGATAGATTAAATCAATATAGGAGCAGGCATTACTGCGTAATGGTCGAAGTTGCCACACTTGCCATCAGCACATCAAGTGAGAATGCACTTAGATGAAAGATGACGAAATAAGGAAGTAGTCTACAGTAATACAAAGAGGATATAACAATAGTGAACTCATGATGACGATTAAGATGAAGATAGCATGTCAGACAGATAGATGAAACCAGTATACATGATATAAGGGGATACATCTGCGTCACTGAGATCGATTTTGAGCTATATCATCTAGAATCTCAAACCATCGGTTTATGTAGACACGTAAACACATTAACCAAAAATATCAAGTTTCTGTACGCAACTGATACCAACAGTCAACGATTTCAAGTACTGATGTCATTTCTTAGTCTGGTGACTCCTAGCCCTTTTTCCAGCCCCAAACTACTTCAAGCCAAAACTGTGACGAAGCAGACTGACTAAACATGTGTAACACGTGTCCCAGCCCCTCATCAACTAGCTTTCCTTTCCTGCCTGAAACTGACTTTAAGATACTGATGTAGTGACATTGACAAACGGTCCAATCTACGAAGGTAACGGTGACCTTAAATCCTTTGCATGGTCATTAAAAGCAGAGGATACGGTAGGGCTTCAGGTGTTTGACCGCAAATGCCTTCATGGCATAAGCTTAATAATCCCGGTTACAACTTCGTTACGTGAATCCTCGGAATTCTATTCAATACGAGATGAAAGCCTCTGTCATTCGCTCGACGTTCTCCAAGACAACTAGGTTGATGACAACTTGGTGCTTTTAAATAGAGATTACTTCCCATAGACATATGTGACATTCTGAATGTAGGAAACAACCAAGGTTAAACCACCACCAGTTTCCGTGAAGAGGTAAGTATGCCAAATAATCAGAACCCATTACAAAAGGGATCTTCCAGGGTAAGACTGTGGTATAATCCAGAAACTAATCAGGTGGATGAGAACTAGTTCCCACTATTGACAGCCATGAACAATAAAATATCCCGACCTACACCGTACTCATGAGACAGCAGTTGCGCAGCTCCCATCATATATAGATTTGATTAGTATGTATAAAATAATCCAAAACCTACCTCATTTGCAGAGAACCTTAGTAGGTACGCAATTTCAGTAAAACTTTAATCGACACACAACCAGCAGTAGATATAACACCTTCTACAGGTCGTAATAAGATCTTATTTATAAGAACTTATTTTCTAAGACTCTTACATCTCCGTAATAGGATCTGAGATCAGTTTAGTTTGGAATACCCAAGTACTCAGTTTTTACGCATGACTGTAACATTAGTGCTTATACGAACATCTACCCGAAATGAAAAGGAAAACTGAGACACGAAACTGAAATCATGAGTTATTTGGAAAACGTTAAAAAGTTCGGCATTTCAGAGGGAAACTGGCGAAATTGTCTGCCTATATTGCACAAAATGCGACACCTGACCTATAGAAGTAGAGCTGACTAGAACACTCTGAAAACATGAGTAGAAGATTAAAGCAAGCAAAATACTTCGCACGTCAACAAATTACCTGCGTCAGTTTCAGGCATCGTAGACGTACCCGCCAAAACTCAAAGTGTTCAAGAATTAATTTCAATATCCAATGTTATTTTAGCAAGTTTGGATGATCGAACTGATTTCTTCATTCTCCTATTTAGGTTTCACAGCATGATTCCAGGTATCTAGAGGATTTCAATTAGTTACACCTAGCATTTAGGCTGCTGTAAATCTAAGAAACCCGAGAGGCGATTGGGGATCCGTTTAATTTGTGGTGCGAGATATTTGTCCTGGAACTAGGATGTAGATGGGATCTTCTGATGTCATGTCGTTAGACAGTCTTTAAAATGTCACAAGAAGAAATATAGTGGGGATGGATGCAGAGGTGGGGGAAAAAAGTAGGGGTGGTGAAAAAACAGGGTGCAGGGTAAAATGATAGGGAAAATGCAGGTAAGTTCGGGAAAAACTGTAGTGAGAACTCAAATAATTACAGTTGAGTCATGAGGGGTAAGATAAGCGAAAAAGAAGAACAAGGCAGGTGGCTTCCAGCCCATAGTTTCGATTTTTTGATACCATGCACTAGACGGTACGACAGCGCCACTAGCTGCGTTCCAAGTAGGAGGCATCAACTATATATGTGAAAATGAGTTATTGTTATTTGTCCCGTGGGTTCCTGGTGAAACACACAGCTTCAGTAACATGTCTCCATTTCACTGTCTTCTCTGCGGTCTCCTGAACCTTGCTCCATGGCTCGCCAGAAGCTTTTATTTATTCCTCACACCGTCTCCCCCATGTCACCCTCGGACGGCCGATAAGTAGTTTCCTCTTTGGGTTCCAACCGATGGCCTGGCCTTGCGCGTGATTCCCCGAATGCTCTTGCCGGTATATGTCCGACCCAATCCATCTCCACTTCCTTCTGCATATTTGTTGGACGATAAGTTTGTAGTGCACCTTCCTGGCACCAAAATATAACCAGGGCTGAAATAAATAGTTTAAATTAAATTAACTAAATAAATCTCTAGCTTGCCTACGGATGCTCAGGGTGTTTTGAATTTTGTTTCAACGAGCATGCGTCCGAGCAGGCTCCGACGCCATTTTGCTCTCCATTGTGCTGACTACCACGCACGTACTCCGAGTCGCTAGTTCAGCCTTACAAGCCAGATAAGTTGATTAAACTTTTCCCCCATTCATTATTATTACATTCACTTTAGTTAAATACATAGCTCCTTCAAATACTTCGCGTATCAGTTCTTTTGATTTGTGTTTTGTTATCAGTACTTACACGTTAGGTGAAGTACTGGTTAAGCAGGTACTAGAGCACATCAAGTTAAGCGGGGTTGATCAAACGTTACGGAATTGTAACACGCTCCCACACAAGTTCTTGGTTGGTTCGTTGCCAGAGTTTCTTCTTACTTATTCTTTCTAGACTTCTGATTCAATCTTCAGTATCAGGTGATCGTAGACAGGAGGTGTTGATACATGTCTGCAGTTTGCTGGAAATGCTTTTCGTAAGGTGCCGCGTTACTGAACCATATCGGAGCATTGACTTGACTGGCATCAGTGCTGAAGTTCCGGATCTTGTTCTTTGTGATAAGTGTAGTGCAGCAAGTCATACCAGTCTCAGATTGATGAAGGCCTGTCTTGCTTTCCCGATCCTGGTCTTGATATCCTCACCTGTGCCGCCACCTGTGGTTGAAACGATGCTGCCTAGGTAGGTGAAATAGACTACTTCCTTTAGGTTTCTCCCGTTCATGATGATTCGCGCTTGTTGCTGCTGTTGTTGTCGGTTGGGTATCTGTATGACCTGTGTCTTCTCCATGTTCACTTGAAGTCCTGTCTCCGCTGCCTCTTCCACCAACTTGTTAGTTTTTGCCTGTAGGCCTTCGAGTTTGTGCTACTAGACATTAGACACGAGTCATTGGCGAAATTCAAATCTTCTACTCTCTTTTCATTGGTCCGGCGTATATCCATCTTCTCGCTCCTCACGATTTGATGCATGATACAGTCAACCACAATCAGGAAGATCATCAGTGATAGTAGGCGGCAACCTTGTCTTTTTCCTGCCTTCATTTCAAAGACGCCACTAGGTTTTCCACTGCGAATCACTTGGCACGTGGCGTCTTCATATAGTTGTTGAATGAGGCTGATAAAGGTTTGTGGTGCTCAGTAGTGCCGAAGCAGTTGTCAGATTGCTTCTCGGTCGACGCCGTCGGAAGACCTTTCAAATCAATGAGGTTGAGGTAAAGATAGAGTTGACTGCCACTCTACGCTGTGTTCTATGATATTGCGTAGCGTTGCAATTTGGTCGGCACATGATTTTTTCTTCTTGAAGCTAGCCAGTCTGTTCCGGTCGTAATTTTGGATCCAGCGCACCCTTTGAGCCCTCCAGGATGATACGGCATAATATTTTGCTTGGAATGGACAGAAGCGTGATTCCGCGCCAGCTCTTGCGAAGACTTAGGTCCCGATTCTTTGGAAGTTTTATAAGCTAGGACTTCTTCCAATCTGCAGGTACACTTCCTTCCCTCCAAACTTTCTCCAACGGTGGCGTAAGCACATCCGCTGCTGACATCTCCGGGTCTGTTTTCAGTGCTTCCGGCGGGATTTCATCTGGTCCTGCTGCTTTCCCGGATTTCAGCAGCTTTACGGTGTTCAGGACTTCACTTCTGCTTTTGCCGGATGGATTGTGTTCCCTGGTGGTTCCGTGGCCGGGCTCCTGGTGGTAGTTCTGGTAGCGTTGCAGGTGGTGGTCGATTCAACAGCTTTTTGAAGTGGTCAACCCACTGGCTCCTTAGTTTCTTCTCTTCGGTGTTAACTAGGTTTCCTTCACTATCTCTCATTGGTTTCATGTGTGTTGGTCTCTTCCCAGGCAGTAACCTGGTTTTTTGATAGTGTTGTCAGGTCCCTGACTCTCCTACCTTCAGACTGTTCTGCTTCACTTGCAAGCGTGTCACAGAAGTATCTTTTGTCTTTCCGTGCACCCTTCTTCATTTCTTCGTCCAGTGTAATGTTTTATAGGCTATGTTCAGCTCCTTTTTTTGCTATCCATCCCTTCATTGCACTGGTCCATCTTCTGCTTCACGGTCTTGCGCTCGTCTATCAGCCATCATGTAGCCGTCGAGATCCATCTTTTGTCTTGTTTCTTTTCCCTTCCTAATGTGGCCATGCAGGTTTCCTTCCAGATCTCCTTCAAAGAGTTCCAGTGTCCTTCGACGCGGGTTTCTTCAGGCGTGCTGCTCAACATCTCCCAGTTTGTCCCGATGACTGACGTGAAGATGTTCCTTGTAGTTTCGTCACTCAGTCTCTGTTCTGGGCGGGAAACGTGATGTCGCCGGTGGCAACTGGGGTCCTGTCCGTTACTGATTTCAGTCTCCTGTAGAAGTCCTCCTTCTTCTTTCGATCTCAATTATTTGTGAGCGCGTAGCATTGAATGATTGTGGCTTTCCTTCCTTTTGAGTTGAATCTTACTGTCACGATCCCGCAGGAGGCCGGTTTTCACTGCATGGGAACCTTCGATGCTGTTGGGGACATCATGATAACCACTCCCTCGGTGTGCTCGTGGTTGTCGTTTGGGTGACAATACTAGAGTAGAATACTGACTCTCCAGTTGACGGTTTGCAAAGTCCACTTCTATTCCATCCACTTTCGCAGATTTCTAGCACTTCTATGCTATACGTTCTCATCTTTCCTCCAATCTGCGCAGCCTTGCTGGGCCTAAACATCATGCGGACATTCCATGTCCCCATGTTTGCTCTGGCTTTCATCGAGGGAGAGAAGACACATCATGCAACTGTGTTCCCGAAGGCTTTCACCAACTGGCGCCGTTTTGCTTCTCCGATTCCGGCTAGGAATAAGTTAAATTTTATTTCTGTATTTACTCTATGCTTTGAAGTTTCTTAGGAAGTAGGGCTACTATCCCTATTCCCAACCCTCCCTCTTTACCCGGGCTTAGGACCGGCTACCAAATGCTTTAAGCTCACCGAAAATATTCTGCTGGTTACTTGAGTTGAATGGCATGCTTACCGTTTAGTCCACCGGTTTTGTCAGGGCGTAGGTCTTTTGCCCAGTCTCATATCAGGTCCATGCTGTTCAGCGACGACATGAATAAGGAAGAAGAAAGCGATAAGGCTCTCTAAGTCACTCGTTCACTAGTACTTCACGAAGTCTACAGCCACCGATTCATCTAAGAAGAGGGATCAGTGCGGTGCCCGGCCAAATTATCTAAGACCCCATGGTGCTTAATGGAAGTGACATACAGGAAGCCAACTACAAGTTGTCATTGCGGCTATGGCGTGTTAGAAGAAATTGACCGCTCTCTTAATGTGGGCCAGGCATCCATTTATGCCACTATCCTTCATGATAGTGCTTCACTTCTCACTGAGCCTGTCATCGGGTTATTCACACATTCCTTTAACCAGTGTATAGTGCGTGTCACGTCATACCTGTCTTCCAGGGGATATCAATGAAACAATCTAACCAGAAACACGCAGGTGACTCCCTTATCCGCACCCTCAAAAGTGATCGGGCCGCTAATCTACGGTGGTTTGCATGATTACTCTATATCCATTAAGTCATTTGCGCCCCTCTAGCATGGTTTCCAGGAGGATATTAATATATCAGTAATCTGCTAACCATTGCTGGTCATTCAGGTAGAATAGATGTCATATACATCATTTAAACAGGCCATTTGCCCTTCCCGGATGCCCTCTAAAATTCTTCCTTTCGCTTGTGGCGTGAAGCTATGTGGAGAAATAACGGATGAAAGCGGCAGGCACACCTCATAAAATGATTCGGCTTGACGTCAACGTTTAACAGACTGCAGGGAAATGACCTTCACTTCTGAGAAAGGTCAGGTGATACTCATATGGCTTCACTATTAAGAACCCATCTAAAAGCACTGCACCAAATCCTTTCATGGACGAAGGTTCGAAATGTACGAAGAACGCATCCCGGCGATGAAGCTGTATCTCTTGAAACATAAGCAGCTGAAATGTTACTTAACATTGGAGACATCTTGGACACTTTATGTCACCTGCTTAAGCTTAGCTCCGGTAC